AATAACAGGGCGCCCCCCCAGGCCAGAATAGCTCAGAGAGACTCCCAATCCTGCATTTGCAAGTGAAAATCCAGGCAGCAAAACTGCAGAGCTCGCAGCTGGGCCACGGCCATAAACCAGCCAGGTTCTCAAGCCAGGTCCGCGAAAAAACAGAGGCAGCCTCACCACGGCGCAGGCTGTGAGCAGGACCAGCGCTGGCTGCCGGCCAGCTCCTGCCTGCCTGTTGATCCACTCTCAACAGGCCTGAGTCTGGCTCTGATTCACCCATCAGGCGGACACCCTGCAGCAGGAAGTGATCCTGGCCACAGAAAGCCGCTTCCCTCACCCCATCACTCAACACCCATCTACTGAGTCCTCTCCCTCGGAGTCCAGCCCTGTGCTGGGGGCACAGAGAGGAGTCAGCCCCAGCTGAGAGAAACCAGGAGGAGCAGGGGGCAGGGTGCTGGGGAGGGCTCCAAGGAGTTGGTGACAGATGAGCTGAGCCTGTGGGAGAGAAGCAGGAACTCCGGAGCAGCTGAAGAAGAGGCAGTCACGGACAGGAAGACAGGCGCAGGGTTGGAACCAGATGGCCGTGAGCCTTGAACTCCAAGGACCCGAAAGCCTGTTGCGTGGATGGCGGGAAGCCATTCGTACCTTTGGGAGCCTAGGGGCTGGGTGCCAGTCTGTGCTTTCTGAAGATAACGCCCTGACAGGGACTGTTCACAGCACGGGGAGGCTGGCAGCGCTTAAAAGGCACCAGAAGCGAATGAGAATCAGAAGAATGGACGCATTTGAGCACGTGGTCTGTGCAAAGCAAACATGGTTCTGAGCACTCGCATTCCTTCACTCGCTCAATTCCCACAACGTGCGCCGGAGGGAAATAGTTCACAGATGAGGAAACTGAGGCACGGGGCAGTTATGTCACGTCCCCGAGGTCACACAGAGGCGGAGCCCGGCCTTGATCCCAGGCAGGCTGGCTCCAGAGCATCTCCAACACTCTACCTCTGTGCTGGAAGTCTGGGCTCTCTCTCAGCTGTTAAAACTCAGACCCAGACCCCACAGCAGGGCCTGGGGGGGCAATCAGAAGAGGCCCTCTCACCCCTGGGGCCAGGCATAAGACCTGCACCTGAAGCACCCTCCCACTCAAACAAGCAGCTTAGGAACTCCAAAATGCAGTGTGACTAAGACCCAGGCCATACCCACGCCTGGCTGTCCCAGAGATGTCTGTGGTCTCCGAGAATAAGCCAGTCCCCAACACGCGGCCCTAGCAGCCAGCAAGGGAGCACCTGTTACCCGGAGCCTCCGTGAACCTTTCACAACGTTCTCCGTGAGCAGTGCTGCCTCTTCCTCCGACGGGTCCCAGTCCCACCAAACCCAGCCGATAAGAAGAAGAAGCAGCCGGATTGTGCTATCATTCAGTCAGTCAGTCGACAGTATACGCCTGATTCTCTCCTGGAAACTAAGCTTCTTCCAGGGAACGGGGCGGGACAGGAACCAAGGGGCCATGTGCCCTGGGCTGGGCTGGGGGGCAGGGGCAGGGCAGTCCTCCACTGCCAGGCCTAGACTGTACCCTGCACCTGAGCCCCTGGTGACACATCTGTCCCCGCAAAACACTCTACAGTGGTCAGGGAACTTCGGCCGTGATTTAGGCAAATGAGTGTCGGCTGTGTGATGGAGATGGTGATTCTGGGTTACACAAGACTCACGAACTCATCAATCTGGACTAAAGGACAATCCTAGCAAAATTGATGCTGCCCACAGAGACCTGATTTGATCTCCGAGTCTTTCTCAACTCCAAAGCCAGAATGGACACTGTCCACCATCTGGGGGAAAGATCCCTTCTCTCCCCAGTGCAGGGGAGACAACCTGGGGTGTGGCTCCCCCACTCCCCTCTCTGCCCAAAGCATCCATCCCTAACAAGCAGCCCTCCAAGTTCCTGGGAGCACCTCCTGCTCACCACTGGGGACTTTCTGGAAGCTGGGAGAACACTGGCCCAGGGCCCAGCCTGGGTTATTCTCAAGAGTCCCTTCTCTCAAAGGGTGGTGGTGGGCTGCGGGCTTCCCAACCCCGGGCGGGGGGAACAAAGAGAGACAAGAGAAGCCCCAGAACCCAGGACACCTGCTTCCCAGCCCGCTCATGCACTCCACAGAGAAAGCCTCCAGCCACACACCAGCAACCTCAGCAGCAAGGCTGCAAGAAGAAGCAGCCGTGGTGACAGCCACGTCCACCCCCTCCCAGGCTCATGAGGAGCCAGGCGGAGCGCACCACAGCCTCACTGCGGCCTCACAACCACCTTGCGGGCAGCCCTGTCGCCATCCCCGTTTTCAGACGGGGTAACCATGGCACAGAGGGGCGGGTTGAGCTGCCCATTGCCACACAGCTGGAAAGTGGCAGCTTTTGGCCACTGTCACTACACCATCCTCACAGCTAACGTCTCCCTGGACCATCACACAAAGAAACGGACTCACCAGCTACACGCAGGCACACCGCAGACCCACGGGTGCTCGTGGGCTCGAAGGCAGTTGCTACACGAAGGGAGAGCGGGGCTTGTGTGGGAGAAAAGCGGCCTCCCTGCCTCCGTGAGGGTCCTGGGGCCTGCCCCGGCAGCTGCTGCCCTGATCTGGCAGGAGTGGGCTGTGGGCACACTTTGGCACTCAAGGAAAAAGTGCTTCCAGCAATGCAAGCAGCTGCCTTTGCTGCGGCTCCGATTCCCAGAGGATCCCAAAGCTTTTCCCATCATTTTTGCCCTTTTTCAGAAACCACTTAGCCGCTGCCCCTCCTCCAGGCGTGCCAGGGCTGGAGAGCACTTACCAGAGCCAGCCAGAGGTGCAACCTCTGCTCTCAGGGAAGGAGGGCGCTGCTCGGCCTCCCAAGCCCGTGGCTCCTGCGCTCGCTCGAAGCTCCGCAAATGCACATTCACAGTTGGTGACAGCAAAAGCAGAGTCCTGCAACTGTCCCTTGTCCAAAATGAAGAAGGAGTGGACGGTCCTGCCGTCCATCACACAATGCCGGCTTTGAGACTCTGCACAACCTTGAACCCGTTCCCAACTCTCTTAGGCCTCTCGTTCCCGGCTGCCCAAACCTGGAGTGGGGTTGGGGGCGAGGGGGGCTTCTGGGTCAGCCAGGTCCCAGCCTTTCCCAACGGGGGGTTCGTCAGGGAACCACGGAACACAGACAACGATGACTATTTTATCACTCCACTTTGAACCACCCTAAATGCACAGAAGAGAAGACCCCCAAGAGAGGCGTCTACTTAGACACCTTTTTATGCTATGTGTGCCATGTAACCTTCAATTAAAATGAACCTTAGAATTCATTCTTGTTTATAAATTGTGGCAAAATATATGTAACAAAATGTACTGTATGAACCATTCTTAACAATACAGCTCAGCGTCACTGTGCACATTCACACTGTTGTACAGCCATCAGCATCATCCATGCACAGAACCTTTTCATCATCCCAAACTGAAACTATGCACCCATTAAACACTAACTGCCCTTCCCAGCTCCAAGCCCCTAACCACCACCATTCAACTTTCTGTCTTGATGAATTTAACTATTCCAGGAGTTCTCTGATAAGGAATCATACCGTATTTGTGTTTTTTGTGACTGGCTTCTTTCACTTAGCATAATGTCCCCAAGATTCATCGTGTTGTAGCCTGCGACAGAATCTCCTTCCCTTTTTTTTTGAGATGGAGTTACCCAGGCTGGAGTGCAATGGTGCGATCTCAGCTCACCGCAACCTCCGCCTCCTGAGTTCAAGCAATTCTCCTGCCTCAGCCTCCCGAGTAGCTGGGACTACAGGCGAACGCCACCATGCCCAGCTAATTTTTACATTTTTAGTAGAGACGGGGTTTCACCATGTTGACCAGGATGGTCTCGATCTCTTGACCTCGTGATCCACCCACCTCAGCCTCCTAAAGTGCTGGCATTATAGGTGTGAGCCACTGTGCCCAGCCTCCTTCCCTTTTAAGGCTGAGCAATAGTCCCCTGGGGCGTGGGGCAGATGGACCCATTCGCTCATCCACTCACCAGCTGATCGACACCTGGCTTGCCTCCACCTTTTGGCCGCAGTGACTCGTGCTGTCATGAACACACGCATGCAAACATCGGTTCCTGTCCCGGCTTTCCATTCTTTTGGGCACACATAAACCCAGAAGTGAGATGTGTAATATCTGAGAGATTCAGCAGTGGGGACCCCTCACCTCTCTAGTCCTCTGGGATCATTTCCTTCTGATGTTGTCGTATAGAGCAGGGGCTGGAAAGGGGAGGGTCACACTTCTCCAGAACCATTGCCTTAGCCTCCAAAGTGATTTCTGCCTCCAGGAACGACAGCACCGAGCCGGGCGCAGTGGTTCATGACTGTCATCCTGCCCTTCGGGAGGCTGAGGTGGGCGTATTGCCTGAGCTTAGGAGTTTGACACCAGCCTGGCCAACATACTAGAACCCTGTCTCTACTAAAAATACAAAAAAAAAATAGCTGGGCACGGTGGTGCATGCCTATGATCCCAGCTACTCGGGAGGCCAAGGTGGGCAGAGTGCCTGAGCTCAGGAGTCTGAGACCAGCCTGGCCAACATAGTGGAACCCTGTCTCTACTAAAAATAAAAATTAAAAAAAAAAAAAAAGCTGGGTGTGGTGTTGCATGTCTGTAGTTCCAGCTACTTGGGAGGCTGAGGTATCACTTGAACCTGAGAGATGGAGGTTGCAGTGAGCCGAGACGGCAGCACTGCACTCAGCCTGGGCAACAGAGCGAAACCCCATCTCTTAGGATCAAGAGATACCTAAGGCGCTGTCTCCAGTGAACACAGCACACGTCACTGAACGTGTCCGCCCCCTTGTTAACAGCGCCCGTGGTGCTGACAGTATCACCAGAGTCTGCAGGGCGCCCACAGGGCGCGTGCCTTCTCTGCAGCCTGCAGGAAACCCTGGCCCTCCTCCCGCCCTGGCGGCTCCTGCCGGGACTCCTTGGCAGCTCTTGTCCTCTTGCCATTCCCCACACACAGGGCTCCCAGGACCTCGTTCGCAGCCTTACCATCTCCCGCTGCACCACCGTCCTTGGGGACCTTCTCCCGGTCCCTCCCAGGACCCGTCTGATATGTCCAAGTCATCAACTGCTTCATCCAGTGTCCACGCGGCCCTCTCCCCTGAGCCGTATCCCTGCCTCCTGGAATCTGCAGGTGAAGCCCACACGCCCCTCCCCCAGCATCTCCCATGACGGGCTCCTCCTCCCTCCACATCCACTCCCTGCCTGTAAAAGCGCCAACTTCCTTCTGGTCACCAAACCCGGTGTCCCTTGTTACCTCCGACCTCTCCTTCTCTGCCCTCTCTGGGCTGTTTCTGTGGCTTCTGTCCATCCCTCCTCTACCTGGGAGCTCCTTCTCACCTGAACGACCAGAAGTGCCTCCTTTTCCTGGTCCAACCTCCCACAACCCATCACCTCCAGATCAGCAGTCCTGGAGCCTCATCCTGATCATGCCCCCTTGCCTCTCAGGGGTCCCCACTGCTGAGCAAAGCCCCACCCCCGCACCCTGAGCCCACAGACCCAGTCTCCTCTCCCACCGTGACCCATTTTCTGCCACCTGGACACAGCCCTTCCCAGCCACACTAACTGTGCTGCCCCCACCCTTTCCCCACCCTCCTCCACCCCAGTACCCCATTTAACCCATCTTCAGTTGTGAGGTGAGCCCCAGGGATGCTCAAATCCCACCTCTTCCCAAAGTTCTTCTCCTCAAGGGCCTCAGAAAAAAGAGCTCACTTCTCAGTTTTATCGTTTATTTTAAGAGGTAGGATCTTGCTTTGTCACCCAGGCTGGAGAGCAGTGATGCACAATCATAGCTCACTGCAACCTCCACTCCTGGGCTCAAGGATCCTCCTGCCTCAATCTCCCAAGTAGCTGGGACTACAGGTGTACACCACCATGCCTGGTTAATTCTTTTTTCCCCATAGAGCCTTGCTCTGTCTCCCAGGCTGGAGTGTAATGGCACGAAATCGGCTCACTGCAACCTCCACCTCCTGGGTTCAAGCAGTTCTCCTGCCTCAGCCTCCCGAGTAGCTGGGACTATGGGTGTGCACCACCACACCAGCCAACTTTTTTGTATTTTAGTAGAGATGGAGTTTCACCATGTTGGCCAGGATGGTCTTGATCTCCTGACCTCATGATCCACACGCCTCAGCCTCCCAAAGTGCTGGGTGACAGGCGGGAGCCTCCACGTCTGGCCTTCTTTGTTTGTGTGTGTATTTTTTGGTTTTTTTTTTTTTTTTTTTTTTTTGGAGCAACACAGTCTCCTCATCTTGCCCAGGCTGGTCTCGAACTCCTGAGTTCACGTGATCCCCACCTCGGCCTCCCAGCTTGCTAGGATTATGGACGCGAGCTACAGCACCCAGCTCCAGGAGCGCTCACTTCTAGACTCCTTCCTACGGCAACTGGCACAGAACCTATGGCCACAATGAAGACACGATGATGGCTGTGCGTGTGTGCTGAGTGCGTCTCAGGTCCTGGGTGCTGGCACGAGCGCTTCATCCGCACTATCTCATCAGACCCTTGCAAAGAGTTCATAAGGTGAGTACAAGTTTGTCCGCTTTTACAGAGAAGGAAATGAAGCACAGACAGGCTATGAACCTGCCCGAGGATGCTGATGGCGACACTAGTCTCGTCTGGAGCGTTCTGAATCCCGTACTGACATTTAACAGCATGATTTTCTTGTGTCTCGCTTTGCAGATTTTAAGCGTCTCCAGGGTGAGGTAAGGCTCTCAAGCCTGCCATCCCGTCTCCGAACCTGGCCCATGCCTTGCTCGAAGCTGCACTCAGGAGCTGCTTGTGGGCTTGGCTTTTGGCTTTATCTGAACAGCACCGTCACCAAATGATTCCTCTAAAACTCTCCACATGGTGGCGGGGACGAGACCTCCGGGCTGGCCATCATGGCCATCAGTGCGGTTTTGTGGGTCATAATTTCAAACAGGATATTTTTGCAACTGTGTAATGATGTACCCATTAAAACTCTTTGTGAGTAGAGGAGTTTTAATGACTTCTGGGAGGGAGGGCGCTTCTCCAAGTCCAGGTTTGCTGCAGCCGAGGGGCAGTTCAGGAAAGCGTCTGTGGACCTGCCAGCAGGCGCTGGGCCAAGTCTGGCCCGATGGACGCTACATGCCCGCTAACATCACTAATGGTGGCAGTTTTCTTTTACTGTTACCAGCAGGGGGCACATTGGCTTAAGCCGAGCTCTTGACACTGGCCAGTGGGAACAGATTGGTTTTCTTCACCCACCCGGGTCCCTCTCAAGATTTGAGGCCCAGCCTGGCTCGGTGGCTCACGCCTGCCATCCCAGCACTTTGGAAGGCTGAAGCGGGCAGATCACCTGAGGTCAGAAGTTCAAGACCAGCCTGGCCAACACAACGAAACCCCATCTCCACTAAAAATACAAAAATTAGCTGGGAGTGTGGTGGCGGGCATCGGAAAGGAGGCAGGAGAATTGCTTGAACCTGGGAGGTGGAGGTTGCAGTGAGCTGAGATTGCGCCACTGCACTCCATCCTGGGCAACAGAGCAAGACTCTGTCTCAAAAGAAAAAAAAGTTTGGGTTGGGTGCCATGGCTCACGCCTGCACTCTAGGAGGGCAAGGTGGGTAGATCATGAGGTCAAGAGATGGAGACCATCCTGGCCAACATGGTGAAAACCCGTCTCTACTAAAAATCCAAAAACATTAGTCAGGCATGGTGGCGTCACACCACTGCACTCCAGCCTGGCAGCAGAGCGAGACTCTGTCTCAAAAAACAGAAGACCAAAAAAACAAACAACAAAAAAAAGTCTGAGTCTGGACTTTGTAGAGCAGATAGAAACCTGCAAATACCCATGTGTTGACGGAGCCTGATGATCAAAATTGGGGCTCACCAGCCCCGCGTCTCCGGGAGGAACCAGGCGGGGACTGAGGGTGGGAGAGTGGCCGAGGGGTGGCGGCAGGTGCCTGTAACCTGCCCGGGCACAGGGTCAGCTTTGCTAGTCTCATCTTGGGCTTTCTACATCTTGCGTTGAGGTTTAACTTCCCTGATTTTCGTGTCTTGCTTCTGAGATTTCACAAGGCTTCAGGGATCAGAGATCCAGATGGCAAACAGCAAACCTGGAAGAAAAATACCCTCCTTTCTGCATTTGGTCTCCGTGTTCATGCCAGCAGGTGCCCACATGGGTCTAAAAGAGCAGCTCCCGGGGAGGGCAGGGGTCTCTGAGAGGGT